GGTTCTGAATGCACACAGTGCACTGCACCTAATGCTCAATAAATATTGGTTGTTACTGTTGTTACAGTTTATCATATTCTGATAGCTGTTTCCCTAATAAACTGTATAAGTACATGTTTATTATTTTTGCAGATGACTTTGTAATCTATTACTTCTCAGTCTCCCCATTATGCTGCCACTAACTTCAGCATAAAAACTGCCTTACTTTGCTTACCTGGAGGCTTACATATTATTTAGTACTCAGTTAATGTAGGAATTGAGTCACAAGCAGAACCACGAAACTGCCTATTGTTTCTGCTATAGCTGGAGGTGAATTTTTACTTGCATGGTTCATTGGAGTCAAGAACTTGTACTCATTCTGAAACAAGGTGGCATAATTTTGGCTTACAGAGTATTATACTGAAAGACAGTGAGCTGAGACGCCAGGTACTGTTCAAGCTTTATTAAAGGAAAAGAATCTGCAGGGCTGCAATGAAAGGGGGGGCAGCCTGGGGCTGCCTTCAAAATGGAAGGCAGGACCGGGTGTGGGGGTGGTAGAGCTTATGTAGTGCTCCAAGGGCTGGCTGATACCATCAAGGAGGGGCATTATGCTAATGTGGAAACTATGCGACCAGGGTGGAGAACTGCTCACTGCGCCCTTGCAGAAGCAAAAGGGTTTCTGTTTAAGTCAGGAGGCTTCTCATAAAGAGAAGGGGGGAGGGGTTTGGTGCTGGAGTGGAAGACAAGACCAGAGGCTATTTCGTGCTTATTGTGTGCACAATGGCACCGGTCATGTCCAAAATCCATCATTCCCACCTTTTAAGCATAAGAAGAAGGGAAAACGGGTGAAGGTTTCATTCTTCTGAAGCTACTTCCTGCTGGAGATGGGTGAAAATATGGAAAAAATGAAAGATTTATGTTGGTGGGTAAAACAATTAGGTGGCAGGGTATTGGTTTCGTGTGGGGAGGCTGTATTCTTCTGGGGAAGGGTCGCTGATTCTGAGGGGCTGATATCCTCCTCGCAGGAACAATTGAGTGAACTTTTGGTTGGTGAAAGCCTGTATACGTTCCTGCAAGAAATTAGAGAAACACCAAAAGAGAAAGAGACCAAAAAGTAGGATGAGGCACAGTTAGGGGTCCTAGTAGGGGCATAAGCCAGGGTATCCAAGGGTTCAGTGACATGGTTTAAGTTGTTTTGGATCACCCCAGACTCATTTACGAAGTAACAGCATTCCTCCCCCAAGAAAAGGCATGTGCCTTTCTTCTCAGCTGTAAGGAAGTAAAGGGCCCGATGGTTCTGTAAAGCGACTGTCACGAGTGAGGTGACCTGTTGCTGGAAGGACATGCTATCTATACTTAGTTCTTCTGAGAGTTTTTGGTAGAATTGAGAGGACAAGGCTTGCTGTGCCAGTCCCAGTTGCAGGAAAGATCCCTGCTCCAGTTAGAAGGTACAATTAGTGCCCTACGAGAGCGGGGGGGGGGGCTGAAGTTAGTCCCAGTCCTGTCTCCATCCCTCCATCTGTCTGGAAGGTGATGTTTGGGATGAGCCAAAAGAGTATGCAAGAAATCATGTTGGGGGGCAGGCAACAGGATAACATAGTTTTACAAAGGAAATATATTCTGGTTTTAGGGCATGGATGAGGAGGGGGTAAGTGAGCGGTAGCATTTGGTGGTGTTAGTAAGGCAGAGTGTGGGCAGGCCCAACACAGTGCTGACAGTCCCCACTGAGGTGAGATCAGAGGAAAGTGATGAGACGTTTGTGGAAACGTTGCAGCGTACATCAACAGGGAGGGGGGTGACCACAAAAAGTTTCTCACAAAGTGGGAGACAGATGAGTCACTCGGGGACCAATCTGATTTGTTGAGGACTGCATCGTCCCTGTGGACCTGGAACCTCCATGTTCCAGGTAAGGGGCAGCACTGAGATAGGAGGAAAAACATGGGAAGGATGTGAAGGGTTAGGGAGCCAAAAGAATTGGTAAAGGGCACATTGCCACAATGAAATTGCTAAGATGCATCCTACTGATAGGAGGTAAAGCAGTGCCAGGAGAAATCTTCCTGGAGCAGCAAAGGCCAATCCTGTAGCAAGTACTAGAACAGGTAGTATAATAGCTCTTTTGCAAAGGACGTGAAGCAGGCCTGCAAGAGTGACAGGATAATTGCCGGGGGAAATATCATCCTTCTTTTGGGATTGGGGCCAGAGTGGAGGTCCTGGAGATTTTCAGTTTTGTAGGTCCTAAAATGGACAAAATCTAGTTGTTTAGAGAGGTATGTAACCAGGGAGAAAATATCTCCTGCCTTTTGTCCCAAACCCTGACTGCCAATCCTTGGGTTTTGGTGACATATGGGATAAAAGGATGAGATAGATTTGGGAAGGACAAAGCTGGGGCTATAAGGAGAGTGACTTTTAATTGCTGAAAAGGAGAATGAACGGGCATTGTGAGATCTAAGGGAATGGCAGGATCCGCTTTGGCTGTCCCATAAAGTGGTTTTGCTAGCACGCCAAAGTTGGGGATCCACATGCAGAGATATCCTGCAAGCCTCAGGAGAGAATTTCACTCTTTGTGGTAGGAGTAGAGAGTTCAGAAACTAGACTTTTGCAATCCACTGTTATTTCTCTGGTGTTGGGAGTGAGGTGGACTCCCAAGTAGGTGACTGAAGGAGAAGAAATTTGGGCATTGCTGGGGACACTCGATATCCCCTGGAGGCCAGCAGGAAATTAAGGAGAGCAACAGTGTGGGCCTGTGAATCTTCATAGGAGGGGCTACAAAGGAGGAGGTCATCTACATATTGTATTAAAGTGCTAGAGGTTGGGGAAAGTTCAGATAAGTCTTGAGCTAAGGCCTGGCTGAAGAAGCGGGGACTATCCTGAAACCCCTGAGGTAGTACTGTCCAAGTAAGTTGTTGGGAATGACGTGTGTCAGGATTAGTCCTGTACTAAATGGTATGAGCTGCTAGGCTTTATAACTGGAAGGGATGGGTGTATTAAAAGGTGAGTGTGCAGGCCATGAGAGATGAGAAGAAAGGAGTTTATAAGGGGCTTTAATCCTATTAGTTGTTTATTAGAAATGGGGTATTGTGGGACACTAGGGAACAAAGAGGGGTTCCACAACTTAACAAGGATAGGGGAATGTGTGTAGCAATGGAGGGAGAAGAAGTGTCCCTTGTCCAAGGAGGAGGGGAAGGTGGAAGCCTCAGGGGCCAGGTCTGGGGTGGCCTGTAACAGGAGTATTGTAGCTGGAGTTAAAATGTTTAGGGTAAGAATGGCTTTGAGTTTGAAAAGAATGTCCAGTTCCAGTAAGGGGGTGGTCATTGAGGCATTATTAAAAACTTGTGTGTGAATTGGGTGTGATGTAGGGTGCAGGAAAGGGGCTGAGTGATCCATGGGCAGTATTCTGATCCTGTGACCCCTACTATTGTGATAGAGAATAGGGTTGTTGCTCCTGCATATTCAGGAAGGGTAAAATAAGTGACCCCTGTATCGATGACAAAAGAGATTGGCTTACCTGCTCTGAGGAAAGTTACCCTGGGCTTATGCATGGTGATCTCCATGGGGGCCTCAGGCCCTGAGCATCATCAGTCCTCCTCCTGGGCAAAAGTCGAGAAGCTCTGGTAGGGATGGCCGTGAAGCCAAAGGCTGTAGGTTGGGGACTGGGCCACTCCCTTTCTGGCGAGTGGCAGTCAGCCTCCCAGTGACCTGGCTGTTTGAAGTGAGAACAGGGCCCAGGAGTGGGCCTGGGGTTACAACAGACCAGTGCCAAATGGCCCAGTTGACTGCATTTGAAGCAGTTCCCACATGGCTTGCCCCTAGAGGCAGCCGGCTTTGGAGTATGTGAGCCACGGAAGGCATTAGCCAGGAGCTGGTGTTTGGCATGATCTCTTTTATAGTATTTATTATTATTATTTTTTAATCAGGGGCTGATTGGGTAATGAAATGAGAGTGTAAGAGGGCCATGCTTGCAGGGGAGTTTGAGTCTATAGGTGTGTATTCATGTAAAGCCTCAGAGAGGTGGGTTACGAACTTGCTGGGATTTTCAGTGGCTCTCTGTGTGATCTTTCTAAGCTTGTCATAATTGAATGACTTGTGAGTAGCCTTTTGGAGGCTATGAAATAGGTGTATGATCATATTCTCCTGGAGATCCTGATCCCTGTGGCCGGCCTGATAGTCCCAATTTGGGTCTGTGCAAGGAACAGCAACAGCTCCCACAGGCCGCCTATTATTTTGAGCATGTACCTGAGCCGCCATCCAGACCTGATCCCTGTACATGGACTTGGATAATTCCTTCCATCCTAGCCACTTCATGGAAGGGTTATAAAAAGCTGCAGCTGAGGTGGGGTTGTTACCTGATGAAGGGGGAGGAGGAGAGGGGTTGAGTGGCTGAGGATGAGCATCTTGAGACCAGGTAGAGGGAAGAGAAGGAAATGTACAGGGGCTGGTGAAGGATTCGGAGCATATGGAGGTAGTCAAGGTGGCCCATATGGGTAGCAGCGTAGTCTGACAAATCAGAGTGTTGATTTGAGTCCGGTAGGGGAGGTCGAGCATGAGCTAGGAGAATTTGAGACATAGGACAGTTTTGACAGAGAGAAGAATGCATTCAGAGATAGAAAAAGGCCTGAACGAGGAATTTCTCTGTCTTGCTGCTTTGGTGAGAGTATCTAAATTGAGAGTGCCATCTTGTGGCCACTGGGATCCATTGTAAAGAGGCGTTCAAGTTTTAATATCTCCCTGGAGGCTGAGATATTGGCCAGGAGACAGCCTGTAGGTACAGAGCTCAGAGAACAGCAGAAAACTAGACATTTAGGTTTGGATTGTGAGGATCTCATTTAGAGGGTGAGAAAGGGCAGTCATGCCTGGTAGAAGATGTGTGCCAACAAAGAGCATCCTCTTTGCTGTCCACCTTCTTTTCGAGAGAAAAAAGCCATGACCCACTAATGAGGTGTCCTTCAACAGCTGGGGGATTCGAGGAGAGAGAGAGCGAGCTGGAGGAACTGAGACAAGCTAGGACTGACCCACTGACTCACCCTGAATTGAGGCCGATGTTGGATAGGTTGGTCTGAAACGGCGAGAAGGAGAGAGTCCCAAGTGTACCTTGTTTCGGCAGGTTCAGAAAGGGTGGCCAGGAGGCGGCCAATTAACCCGAGAGAAGGGACTGTCCGACAGTCCAGCCAAGACCCTTCCCAGGTATCCGCACCATAGTGAAAGAAAGTGAGCCTAGACTCCGCGTACTGTTCAAGCATTATTAAAGGAAAAGAATCTGCCAGACTGCGCTGAAGGGGTAGGTGGGCAGCCTGGGGCTGCCTTCAAAATGGAAGACAGCACCGGGTGTGGGGGTGGTAGAGCTCATATAGTGCTCCAAGGGCTGGCTGATACCATCAAGGAGGGGCATTATGCTAACGTGGAAACTATGCGACCAGGGTGGAGAACTGCGCCCTTACAGAAGCAAAAGGGTTTCTGTTTAAGTCAGGAGGCTTCTCATAAAGGGAAGGGGGGAGGGATTTGGTGCTGGAGTGGAAGACAAGGCCAGCGGCTATTTTGTGCTTATTGTGTGCACAATGGCGCCAGTCACATCCAAAATCCATCACATATTACTGATTCTGCCCTATCCCATCCACACTCAAATAAATCGTGTCTCATCGGATGAGAAAAGATAATAATACTCTCCACACACGCACAAATGTACACTCCTTGAGGAACGAGAGGCTCACGGGCATCGATGCACCAGGGCACACACAATTTAACGGAAAGGCTGCAGAGAAGGCACACTCGACCTGAGAGAAGTTAGCGGGGGCACTGCAGGGTCCTGACCTACCCCATCTTCAGCTCTAAAACTCTGCCGCTCTAAATATGTCAGGATCCTTGAGAAACGAGAAAACACAAATAAAGCGTAAGCCTGAAGGAAAACTGGAGAATACTGTTAGAGTTGACAAGGAGGGGGGTTTGCTGTGTTCAGAGAACAAGTATTTCAAGGCCACATTTTCTACGCTGCCCCAGGCACCCCAAAAGCCGCCACCACACCTCCCGGGAGCTTCCGGGCCGGGGGCGGGACTTCCCCCGGCCGCCCCATTCAGCGGCCGGGCGGTAGGCATGCGCACTGACTGCGGACGTGTGAACTGAGGGGCTTCATTTTTGCTGAATCCGGTTTGCTGGGAGGCTGCAGCTTCATCCACCTTCCGGCAAGGCCTCTTCAGCCCCGGGCGCAGACCGAGGTTTTAGAGCTGCGGGGTGGGAGCCGACGTCTCTTCTTCCTTGCTCTTTGGCAGAGGCTTTGTGGCCGTGGGCCGGGCCCCAGGGCGTCCCCCATGGCGGGGCAGCTGGTGGAGGGCGACGGCGGGATCATGGAAGGGGTGAGTGCGGGGCCAAGGGCAAAGCGGCTGGGGCTGCAGCCCAGGTTAAACAGAGCGTTCACGTCCGGAGTTCTTACGTCTCTTCTCCCCGCACCCCACCCTTGGCAGGGCGGCCAGATCCTCAGGGTCTCTACAGCCCTTAGCTGTCTCCTGGGCCTCCCGTTGCGGGTGCAGAAGATCCGGGCCGGCCGCAGCACGCCAGGCCTGAGGTAAATCCGGGCGGCGGGGGAGCCGGGCTGTGGAGGTGGGAGATCTGGGGGCCGGCCCCCTCTCTGGAGGCCAGCCGGGGCTGCGCCGCGGGGTTGGGAGGTCTGGGGACCGGTTTGCTAACTGGGGGCGGGAGGTTGGGAGTAAGGGGCGGGTTGCCGGTCTGGGGGAATCCGGAGTCCGAGCGATGGAGTCTGGAAATCCCGGCCATAGGGTTGGGGGATCTGCGGGCCGGGGCGGCGGGGCCCGGGGGGGGGCGG